TAAAAAGTAGTAGGAGTAAAAGTATATAGTAAAATGTTAATACTCAAGTACAAGTACCTCAAAGTTATACTTAAGAACACCACTATACCTTTCCGATGTGGTTTTCCAACTGATATGAGCTTTGTAGCTATTAGCAATCAAAAGCTTGAATTGAGGAAATAAATTGTAGATACACACTTCAGAATGAAAAAAATAATTTGTCCCCTGCCTCTTCCTGCAAGTTATTCTTGCACAAAGAGAGAGCTACATTTACTCATTTTCCTCTCCCAGCTTTTCCCAGACTAAACACAGTTTCAATCCAGTGACTGTGTGGTCACAAAACATTAACCCTGCCGTCGCCAAGATGGGCTGACACTGTGGACTCTGACCTACTGTGTGGCCGTTTGTTAATCCCGTTATTTTAGGATTAGGTTATCAGGTCCTCTTGGCTATGTTTTATTCATAATGTTATTTCTGAGTTCTGTTATCATGAAGGGGCAGCTGACAACTAGAAAAAATACAATTATGTGATTTTTATCTGTAGAGGTTTATAGATGAGGTCATTTCTGTCAGCCCCTGAGGCATCGTCTTTCTCACCTCCTCGTTGACCTTCATTTTATTTATTTATTTATTTTTTGACAGGCATTTCCTCAGTGTTGTTTGAATCCAGAATTGGTTGCCTGGATGAGGTTGTTCCTGAAGAGACAGAGCGTTTCATCCAGTCCATCAACACTATGTTTGTAATGACGCTTCTTACCATGGCCATGCCAAGTTGGTTGCACCAGCTGTTTCCTAAACCCTGGAACATCTTCTGCCAGTGCTGGGACTACATGTTTGACTTTGGTAGGTCATTTTGTCTTAAATATTTGAGTTTGGTGTTGACATGGGAAGCAGTTTGAAAATGTATAGCACTGTATTTTACAAAAATGAAAATGAGAAAATAGGAAGATATAATGAAATATATAGGAAATATGATATTTGAAAAGACGTGTGCGCAGGGACTTTAGCAGACTTTAAAATTTAAATTATAAGGAAGCTTCAGTCTCTATACTCAAGCTTAAAGATGCACTACACAAGCTAGCACTTCACTACAACGTGGAACTGAAACAAACATGGAGGTGGAAAATTGTGTGTATGTCTTTCCACACTTTATGTAATAGTTTTCCCTCCCCTCCATCTCACTTCTTAGTGGTCGCTGCTGGTTTTCACTCAGCACTGGGTTATCATCCCACTCACTCTGACAGTACTTTAAGACTTATCCAGATCTGAGACGTCAAAATCGAACATGTTTAAAATAATTGCACTGGTGCAAACTGGATCAGGAAGCAGGAGATTAAAGTCCTTAACCCTCACGCACTACTAAGATCCTCTAAAATGAGCATGAACATCATGTCTGTCTGCTGCGTGTCAGCATCCTTTTGTGAGTTTATGGATATTTACATACTGAACCCACACTGTCATAATGGCCTCTAATCTCTGCCTCCAGCGAAAGGTCACATCGATCAGCGTTTGACAGCCGAAGCTGACAAGGTCGGCCGTGGAGAAAAGGTGGAGGGTCGTTATCTCACCTACTTCCTGGCGCAGACCGGGCTGCCCATGAAGACCGTCTACAGCAACGTCACGGAGCTGCTTCTTGCAGGAGTCGATACAGTAAGAACAATCACTCTGTCCCTCTTCTTCACTGGATTCTGCTGTCAGTGCTGCAGATTTATTAACCTCTTGTGTACCTTCGTTTGTTCAGATCTCCAGCACTATGTCCTGGTCATTGTACGAGCTGTCCCGTCACCCTGAGGTGCAGGTCTTGCTCCGGGACGAGGTGCTGAGTGCACTGGGGGGTCGACGCATACCGACGGCAGCAGATGTAGCCCGCATGCCACTCCTGAAGGCCACAGTCAAAGAAGTGCTCAGGTATAATTAAAAAGAGTTCAGTTTATTTTGTGAAGACTTGTTTTCAGTCTGTAAGTTTAGTTACTTTATTGAACTTTTGTTTTTGCAGGTTGTACCCTGTTATTCCCGCCAATGCAAGAGTCATTACAGAGAGAGACATCCAGGTTGGAGGCTACCTCATACCTAAAAATGTGAGTGTTTTGAGGGAATTATTGCACTCTGAAATCATTCATACTCTAGCAGGACTATTTGGATTAAAATCTGTCTGGTGCCATGTGGTCACACTAGACGGATCCTTTGTATGGACTATATGTTAATGTCTCACTTCTTTCCATACAGACTCTCATTACCCTGTGCCACTTTGCAACATCTCGGGATCCAGCAGTGTTTTCCAATCCGGATGAATTCCAGCCCCATCGATGGTTGAACAAGGACCAGACTCATCACCCATACGCGTCTGTACCCTTTGGGGTGGGAAAGCGTAGCTGCATAGGTCGGCGTATCGCTGAGCTGGAGCTCTACCTTGCTCTTGCCAGGGTGAGTTAACTGGTTCTTTTTGATATAGATAGATAGTTGATATGACCAGGTGGATTCATTTGAGATGGCTGGCAAGCTTTTAAAATATTAGGACCCAAACCTGGTTTTAATCCAGGCTGAGACAATAGTTTTAGTGGGCATAAGTACACAGGTAAAGAACTAAACTTATTTGCAGACAAATCATGCTTATAATTGGTAAACTGATGGTAAAAATATAATATAAATCCAGGTGCATTTACATTACAGTTACAATGCACTTCTTCACTGCCTATATTCAGAAGTAATTGAATGTTTTTGGCTAGATTAAACAGAAAACATATATTGGGAGAAGCTCAAGACACTAACACATTCTGTTACACGCTGCATCTACACAGATTATTTGAATTATGTAACAAGTCATTTTGATTGTTTATTGATTAAATGCAGTTTGTCAAAAACTGAATCCTGCTTTGCTGCATTTTGTCTTGGAATAACATAAGAAACTAAAAGAAAAGGGATTTACCCCTTCGGTCTAATCCAGTTCCTAATTAATTAATTTGCGTACTTAAGAATACTTACTGAGATTTCAGTTAAGAGTAACTGCCCAACACTTACTGTAGCACATGATTGACACTTGATTTGTTTCAGTCACCCAAGAGTAAATCTGTTTTCTCTGTCTCTGGTCTCATTAGATCCTCATGGAGTTTGACGTGAAGCCGGACCCAGAAGGGATTTCCGTGAAACCCATGACAAGGACGCTTCTAGTCCCTGAAAATGTCATTAACCTCCAGTTTATTGAACGATGACCCACCTTCCTGGGCCCATCTGTTACGAGAATGTAAGTCTCTCCGCAGTGCAAGCAGGAAGGGAGTGTGAGCGTTTGAGTGGACCTTCAGTCTTCCACACAGCAAAGGTCAAAGCCCTCCATACCTGTCACCTAGTTTGTGGAGGTCCCAATGCGGAGAAGGACTAATGAATGAAAGGATGAGCAGTGACAGCTCATCACCGCTTCCAGTGCAGCGCCTCCACTGGCAGCGGTGTAACTCCAAATTTGATACTGCAGGTTTTTAATATAAAATCACCATCAAGCACTAATTTGCACAGAGGCCAAGAGCAAGCCAGCGATCTCCTTCAGTACGTTTCAGCAGGCAATCTTCAGACTTTCGTTTCATCCTTAAAGTCAGACCATGTTGCATTTCGTTGCGTCTCAATCTGGTTAATCTAAATCCGATTATGAGCTGTGATCTTCTGCACTCGTAACTAAACACTGTTCAGCAGCATAAGCAATTTTCTGTTTGTCCTGGTCGTGCAAATATTTCATTTTTCATTCCTGTATATGTTATTCCTTTTAGTATAAGAGGCACATTACACGTCTTTCTAAATCAGTGTGCCATAAAATATCCAAGAGTATTAGGAGACTCTCATACTGGCACGTGGACACACTGTTTCTAATATTTTAAGATCTTATTGAACTACTGTGAGAGTTTTGTGTAGATATGATGTTCAATATTTTGATCAAAGTGAATTTTATACGGTGCTAATGGTGAAAAACATTTAGTGATGTGTTTCTTTAAAAAAAAAAGGCAGCTGTTGAAATTATTCCTGTGTAGGAATGCATTTAAAATCCCAAACGTAGGCTCTGTGAATTTGTCTGTATTGTCTTTAAAATGTAAATGTATGCCACAATTGAACAGTGCAGCACAATGCAAGTTATTGGTTGTTAATTTTTTTTTTTACATACAACCCTATTATGAGTGATATACCACCATTTTGTAAAAGTATTAAGCTTCTGTATCTGAACTCTGTATTTATTATAATTTAATGTATTTTTAAACTGTTACTGTAAGTTTCATTAAAAGGTTTCAAGTTCAAGTCTATTTGTTGATTTTATTTGGCCAAACCAACTCAATATTATCACCTGTTTCCTTTGTGTTAATGTGATTCCCACTTTTCTTTTTAGGGAAAAAATATCCCTTCTGTCACGATTCAGCATTTAAGCTTTAACACCATCAGCTGTATCAGATTAAGTCTAACATATTTAATGTGTTTCTAATTGTCGTTTGAACAACCAGCATTCACGTAGGCAGTAACTTCTAGGAAGTATCAAAGTTCCTGTGTGACATGACCATGTGGACAGGACAGTGTGAGCTGTAGTGCAGCAGCTGTAGGTCAATATTTTGGACCAAATCACTCCACTGCGGTGTGCATCACGTTACCTGACCCCTAGGTTGGGAACAGTGATGTTATTGAACTTCAAAAGTTATAATCAGTGAATTGTAGCTTTCGCACTAATATGTGTTTGTGTATTACATTTAATAGATGTTTAAATGCACTATTGGAGTAACGCCACTAGAGTTGAGAGAAACTCTGTTTTTATTACCTTATACAAAGTAAACCTGCTAGAACATCACAAATACTTTCTATTTCTACTCCACTACAATTCAGTGG